CCCCGCCTGGGTCCAGACCCCCGCCTGGGTCCAGACCCCTGCCTGGGTCCAGACCTCCGCCTGGGTCCAGACCCCCGCCTGGGTCCAGACATGTGCCTGGGTCCAGACCCCCCGCCTGGGTCCAGACCCCTGCCTGGGTCCAGACCCCCGCCTGGGTCCAGACCCCCGCCTCCTCTTCGTGCCTTAAGCTGTCTCCAGTATTTTCCTGACGGCGTAGAAAGTTGCCTCCAGAAAGCCAAACCGCTGCGTCGCCGTCTCGTCCTTCTTCGGCGTCTGTTTTCCGTGTTCGCCACATTCCTGGTTCCCATCAGCACACTTCCAGACACTCCTTTTGTACGAAGCTTTATCCTCCCTGACGAGTGAACGTCTGGCTTGTAGCCGCCTTTAAAGGGAATCTATTGAATCCAGGCGTCGCCCTGAAGGAGCTCTGCTGTGTCGCCTCTACAGACAAACTGTTTGATAATAAAAGACCGACTGATCACCACTTGGTGCTTCGTTGTCGCTGATTGGAGGGTTTGGTCCAGGTGTTTGTCTCAGCAGCTGGATGCAGGTTTTTCATTCATGAAGTCCAAACAGCAGCTGTTCCTGGAGAGCACGTTGGTAAGATGGGAACTCAGCCTCCACTCAGAGTCAGGGGGATAGAAGTTCACCAACCATTAAGGAAAATGAGCTGCTTACACAAATAAATTCATATTTTCCCTGAAGTTTTACCAGGAAGCAGCTTCTTGTTGTGGAGTTTATGCAGAATCTCAGATTTTATTAAAATAAATGATAATATTAATAACAAAGTGCTGTGACAGGTAGAGCATGAAACAGGTAAAGTATCAGGCAGGACAAACGGGTAAATCACACCGTCAGCGATGAAGATGCACAGAAAGGACAGGAAGTTAAAAACGCACCAATCAAAATCCAGCTTCCAGTAAAGTCTCAGATGTGATCAGATTTAAATGTTGGTTCCAGTCAAACATCAGAAACTAATTCAGACCTAAATATATTTAACATTCGTCATTAAGAGCAAACTTATTATTTCATTTTCATTCTTTGTACTTCAATATAAAATCTAAAAAATGCTGCAGTTTGTAATTTGGCCACCAGGTGGCAGCAGGGCTTCAGTTTTACACCTGATTAAAATATAACAAGAACATATTCAACCTTTTGTATTTTCCTTTGACAGATTGTAGCAAAATAGAAAAAAGTATTTAAATAATTACTTTAAATAATAATAGAAAATATTCCTGTTTTACAAACGACATTAAAAGTCTGATTAAATAATTACAACATTTTTAATATAAAAATACTTCATTTAAATAATCACTGTAGATATTTAAAAAGAAAAATGTCACAACAGGAACCGTTTGAACCATCAGTTTAAAACGCACATTAAATTATTAAGTATCATAATTATTTACAGTATTTCTGCCAAAATAATAAAATCTAAATATTTCTCTTTTATATTTTTGTTTCCAAGTTAAAAGCTGCAAACTTCAAATATTTAAAAATAAAAAACATTTAAAATCTAAAATATGAACGTTTGTAGAAACCAGTGTAAAAAGAAGCACACGAGGGTTTATGACGATTATCTTAAAATGATTTCTGGTTCTGACTCGGTCGGATTCAATCTGGAAATGGAATCTTTCCTTTCTGCCTTTTTCTCAGTTTAATGTTTTAAAGTCTGACAACATTTAAAAACAACTGAACGACACGAAGGTGAAGCTTGTGGAGGTCAAAGCAGCTCAGACTAAACTCTGAAGCCCGTCACGCCTCCGGGCCGAACAGAACCAGCCTCTGCTCGGCTGCAGGCCCAGTCGGCGCCACAGCTTCAGAATTCTTCCTCCTCTCAGAGTTGCGTGATTTGGCTGCAGCTCAGAAATGCGACGCATTTAACGGAAAACAAAGACACAACGGCGTCTTTGTCTGCTTCAAAACCGAGACGTCTGCTGGAAGAAGTGACGTCTGAGGAGGCCGACGATCAGAACCGGCGTCTGACTGAAGGCTCTGGAGGTTCACACAGCCGCAGAGATGTGAGTGGAAATGTGACTGATGTGTCAATAAGACAGAAGAAGTCTGGAAAAGAAGCTGGGCAGGGAGGAGGTCGGGGTGGACGACGGGTCACAAACACACACTTCAGGTTTTTAATTCAGGAAACTGGTTCAACGAGCACCAAACTGTAGCTGTTTGTCTGGTTCAGCTGTTTGTGGATGCAGGAGGAGGTCTACCTGGCTTTTATTTAGAAACTTAGACTTCTGGCAGGAAAACAGGTCTTTAAGAAGGAACTGTGGTCATTGATAAGGCGGGAGCAAAGACGAAGCTCAATGCTGTTGTTTTGGGGGTTTTAGTAACAAAGTCAGCTCAGGGAGGAGGTCGGGGTGGACGGACGGGTCGACCAAACGCTGGACTGTGGGAGGCTGCTGCTTCTGTTCCTATTTCAGTGACTGTTACAGATTCTAGTCATGAAGATTCTTTATTTCAACCCAAACCTTAAACTAAACCTTCATTCTGGTTCATATCTGGAAGAACAAACTAAAATGAACGCGTTTTGTTTTGTCCTAAACTCAGATATTTGGCCAGAGAACGTGAGGTGACTTGAACGTTGAACCGGTGTCGGTGTCCCGGCTGAGCTGGACCTGCAGTGTCGGTGTTCCGGCTGAGCTGGACCTGCAGTGTCGGTGTCCCGGCTGAGCTGGACCTGCAGTGTCGGTGTCCTGGCTGAGCTGGGCTGAGCTGGGCCTGCAGTGTCGGTGTTCCGGCTCAGCTGGGCCTGCAGTGTCGGTGTTGCGGTCCTGATTATCTGCGGCAGCATAGAGTGACTCACGGCGCTAAGCCTCTTACAGTAATACACCCGCTGCTGAGCCCACACCACAACGCTGTCCACATCCACACATGGCAGTTCTGCCGGTTCCCTGACCCGGGGCACGTCCCTGTCCGGACCCTGAGGAGCGCCGGAGATGCTGGGTGGAGACGTGGTCGCCGTCTGGGAGGTGGCGCTGAGCGACGGCGTCCACCGGATCGAGTTCGCTCACGGGACGACCACCGGGAAGCGCGTCGTGTACGTCAACGGGAAGGTGAGACCCGGTTCGGTTCTGCTCCTGGTAATGAGGTGTTCTGTTGATGCTTTAAGTCGGTCGAGTCCTGAGTCCGTTATGTTGTGTTTTATTGATATCTTAGTGTCTGAGTTAGTTTGGCTGAGTGGATTATTCTGAATGGATCAGTCCTCTGGTTGTGAACAGGCAGCGTGTTGGAGGAAGCCAAGAGTCAGAACCTGAGGATGAGCACAAACCTGACCAGGAAGCTGCTTAATAAAGCACTCAAGTGTAAAAAAAACAATATTACTGCAAAAGAAGTGTCAAAAACGTAGATAATAGCGCATCAGAGGTGAAAACCTGGATGTTAAAGCACCAGCGTCTGTTTAAGGAGGAGGTCGGGGTGGATGGACGGGTCTGTTGTCTTCTGAAAGCAATGTTTTACAGATTCTGCTGATTTTAATGAACAACATCAATAAAAGGTCAAAACCCTGATTGTTCTCCAACCAGACCGAGGTGTTTCTGACCCGAGATGTGCTGCTGTTATAGAGCCACAAAGTCTGTTTAAGGAGGAGGTCGGGGTGGATGGACGGACTGGTAACTGCAGCCGTCGTGTCCTTTTCCAACAGGAGGTGATCAGGAGGGACTGGATGTTCAAGCTGGTGGGTAAAGAGACCTTCACGGTCGGCGGCGCCGCCACCAGAGCCACCATCAACATCGAGGCCGTCAGCGGCTTCGCCTACGAGTACTCGCTGGAGGTCGGCGGCAAGAGCCTGCAGAAGTTCATCGACAACCGAGCCAAGACCACCAAGACGTGGCTGCTGTCGGTGGACGGAGGCGCCTGCAGGGTGGTGCTGGGTGAGGTTTATCTGCTGCAGGCCGAGGCCTTAATCCGCTCAGTCAGCTCAGCGCAGGTATTTAAGGAAGCATGACGAAGCGGTTCACCAGAACCCAGGACGCCGTGGATCTGGGTTTTTGTGGGATGTGATTCATTGTGGAACATTTAAACCAGCAGGCTGAGATCCAGTCATGACTGGATGACCCGACACTAAATGTAAAACCTTCTTCTATGTCGGATAGCAAGACGGAGGTCCAGATACGAGGAGGGCTTGATGCTGGAAGGCTCATTAGTTGTTCATTATTGTTCATAGTTGTTATAATAACTAGTAGTTCTGGTCCCAGTAGAACTTTCTGCTCTCTGGATGTTCAGGCCCAGTTAATGATGAATATCAGAACATTCTGTGCGGTCGGGGGCCACTTCCACCCCGGGGCAGCGCTCTGACGGGGTGGAAGTGTCCAGAACACACAGGCAGTACTTGGCTGCTGATGCTAGTTTAGTTAGCGCTCACACTTCTGTTTCCTGCTTGTTGAGCCGCCAAAGAGGATTTTATGGTGTTAAAAAACAGATTCATGATGTTTCTGTTCATCTTCAGCTGATATAATCTGTACGATTCTCATTATATGTAGTCTGAAGGAAAACAGTTAAAAATCAATAAAACGGCAGCAAATGTCTGTAAAACAAAGATGTTTTTGTCATGAAGTTCATCAGAGCTCAGTAAAGTTCAGTCAGCTGCTGTGAAGGAACAAATGATTATTTATAGAAATACAGATTTTTAATGTGAGTTTTAGAAAGTTTATTTTTTACAGTTAACGTGTAAATGAATGTTTTTTTCTTTTATTTAACTAGAAATCATCTGTAATGGAACAAAACAGTTAAAGTCTGTAAATATAGTTTAAATTCCAGTAAAATTCATTTAAAGTTTTTTCTTTTGCAGCGTAGATAAAATAATAAAAACTAACTGAACTAAGATGTCAGTCTCTATTGTCTGAGTTAGAATTCTAATTAAACTTCTTTTTCTTTTTCCAACAGAAAAGGACACGATGGACGTTTGGTGCAACGGACAGAAAATGGAGACGACGGTGAGAAGTAATCAGATTACATGTGTGTGTCAGTAATCAGAGTGAAGCCTTGCATGGAATCCAAAGTAATCAGATTACACGGCTTTTTGTAATCCAACCGATTACCTTACTACACTTTTAGATTCTCACATGGTTTCAGAATTTCATGTATTTTAATATTAGATGTTTTCAATGTGAATTTAATCTTTCAGGATAAATTTGCATATTTTTCTGGATACATTTTTATATTCTTGGATGTTTTTAGTATAAATATTCATATCCTGGGTTGTCTTCTGCATCATTTTTATAGTCTCGTATCCTTTTCAGTGTACATTTTGCTATTTTTCTCCGTCATATTTCATATTTTTATATGTTCTTAGTATAAATATTAATATTCTCATTGGTTTTCAGGATAATTTTTGATATTCTTAGAAGTTTTTAATATAATTTTGTCGTGTTTTCAGGTGTTTCCAGTCTAAGTCTTGATACTCTGAGGTGTTTTCAGTCTGCTCGTCTTGTGCGTCCTCAGGGGGAGTTTGTGGACGACGGCACTGAGACCCACTTTGCTGTCGGCGAACACGACTGCTGCATCAAGGCTCTGAGCGGGAAGAAGAGGAGGAGCGGCATCGAGCATCACCTGCTGCTGGACGGACAGAACGTGTCGCCTCAGTAGAACCGAGCCGAGCCGGGCCGGGCCGGGCCGAGCCGTCGGACTCTCGCCAGGTGTTTCTGGTTGCTGTTGATAAATTCGTTCTTTCTCATTTGAATTCGGTTGAATGTGTGTTTGAAGGTTTCTCAGGATGAAAACATGTGAAACAACCTTTTTATAACGTTTGGGTTCTGGTGCAGAGTGACGACATAAATAAAGAACCCAGATGGACCAGATGTGGTGTTCTGTTTGGTTTGTGGTGACTTCAGGGACACGACTGGATGAAGGAAGATTCTGCACATGAAGCCCGACCAGACACGAGACGTGGTAGAAGAAGAAAATGTTTCAAACCCGTTATCATCCTCATGAATTATATTTATTATGAGTCTGATATTTACACCAAAGGAAAAGTTTTCAACAAGACTGGAGGCTGCAGATTATTATTATCATTATTCTTATTCTTATTATCATTGTTATTATCATTGTTATTATTATTATTATTATTGTTGTCATTATTGTTGTTATTATGGTAATGTAGGGAATTTGAAGAAACAAGATCCAGCTCTTTGTGTTTATTTCTGACCATTATTTTTTATAAAACTTTAAAAACAAGACTTAGAGTTGCATTTATTTCAATAAAAATTATTGTTATAATGAATACGAACAACAACAACAATAATTCTGGAAAGAAAAAAACGTTTTAAGGAGGATTTTGAACTCTTTATCATCATCATTATTATACAAAGAAGAAGAAGAAGGAGCTATACTTCCGGTGACGGCGCTTTACGCTGAAATCCGCGCCGGAAGTGCTCGCCTGCTGCGTGCGTGTGGCTTGGCGCTCCGGAGGCTCCCGGCTGGATGTGACCGCACGGCGGGGGACGGAGACGCTGCTCGGGCTGCGACAGCGGGACGGTACCTGTGGAAAACGGAAAAGCGCGTGATTCGGCGCACCTGGCTCGGTCCCGGAGGCGCGCGGGCTCCGGTGGTGTCGCTGTCGGTGCGTGAGTCCGGCCGCCGGTGAGCGCCGCCGGTCCCGGAGACAAAACAGCGGAGGGACGCGGGTAGCAGGACCCGGGCTGCCCTCCGCGGCTGCCCGCAGAGCCGCCGTCCGGCCCCGCGGCTCCCCGGCCGCCGACCGCAGGCCGCTCCTCGGAGCTCCAGCCCCGCGCTGGGGCGTTATGTAAGGCCGGCCGCGGCGTGTGGAGCGCGGACAGCGTCCTTCGCCCTCCGGCTGGAAGCTAGTTAGCTTTAGCCGGCTAGCCGCGCAGCTAGGCCGTTCCTCGGTCCGGGACCTTCCGCTCGAAGCCGCTCCGGTCCGCCGACACCGCACCGAGCCCCGGGTCGTCTGGCGGGATATGGGGCAGCGGTGCCCGGCCCGCCGCACATCTGGAGCCGCGACGCGCCGGAGAACCGCCGCCTCCGCCGGGCAGTAGCAGCGAGTGTGTCCGCTGGATGTCGGTCCGGTGTCCCGGGGATGTAGAGGCACCGGGCCCCGCCGAGCTTCACCGTTAACCCGCTGGACGTCCCCGCTTCGCCCCCCGACATGAACTACCAGCAGCACCTCGCCAACTCGGCCGCCATCCGGGCCGAGATCCAGAGGTTCGAGTCGGTCCACCCGAACATCTACTCCATCTACGAGCTGCTGGAGCGGGTGGACGAGCCGCTGCTGCAGAACCAGATCCGGGAGCATGTGATCGCCATCGAAGGTAAGAGGCTCCGGGCCCGGTGGACGGCACCGAGCGGCCGGTTCTGCTGCCGTCCACCGGGACAGTCGGTGTTCTGCATGTTTCGGGCTGCAAGTGAGAGAAAAGGTCCAGAACAAGTCCAACAAGTGGTCCGGTTCTGGACGGGACCCCCTGACTGACTAGTGAAGGTCCAGATGTGTGCTGGTGACTCCAGCACACATCTGTTTGGTTCTGTTTACCCTCTAACTGGTGGGTTCTGCTGTTGTCGTTTAAATCCATTCAGCTGTTGGTCTGACGGAACCAAACCCATGTTCGGGTCTCTGACGGAAGCATTTAAAGCTGAAACCCGTAAACGAGCTCCGTCAGCTGGTTCTGGTTGTGGTTCTGATGAAGTTCTGTGTATGTCATATATAAACAACCCGAACCTGCTCTGAGGAGGGGCTTTTACTTTGAAGGCTTGTCCCGTAAATCCTGCAGCTTCCGGTCAGGTGACCACAGGTGACTCGGAACCAGGATGTCAGCCTCAGGACCAGCTGTTCGGGTGATGCTCCACATTCACGGGCTGGACGATGAGAAACTCTGGTTCTGATGACGTCACTCAGAGGATTAGAAACGCGATGACGTCATTCTCAGGCTGCACATCAGCCCTGTGTTGGTTCTGATGGTTCTGATTCTGTCAGTGTGTGGGGAGGTCTGGTTCCTGTGAGCGGGTCAGAGGTCAGGAGGGGTTTGTTGACAAACGAGGCTCCCACGTGATCATGATGACAACAAACAACAACAATAACAACAATAACATTAATAACAGTAACAATAAACATGCAGACAGTTTGACACACACTCATGTCGTCACCCTGTGAATCCACACAGACAGGTGTTCAGAACAAACACACAGAACCACACAGAACCACCACAGAACCACCACAGAACCACCACAGAACCACACAGAACCACCACTGTTTGGTACCAGTCGCCCACAGACGTGTTGCTTTGTGTCGTTTTCTGGTGACTTTGTGTTTTCCTGTTGATGTGATGCACGGTGAGCGTGCACGGTGAGCGTGCACGGTGAGCGCTGACTCATGCAGCAGCAGCAGCAGCAGCAACGTTTCCTGCAACAGTACCGGAGCGTATTTGACAACGCTCTGTGTGGGGACGTTTGTGTGTTTTGGGGTCAGTGTTAGTTTGTTTTTTCAGCTCCGAGTCGTTCTGGGAGAGTTCGTGTCGTTTAGGACAAAATGTCCCGATCAGGCCCAGTTTCAGGTGGTTCCAAAACCATTCAGAGTCACTTTGGACCAGCCGCTGAGCCGCGGAGCAGAACTCTGGTTATCGTGGACGCGAGCCGAGTCGCTCTGGGACACGTCTGCTCGTTTGAGTCGTTCTGGACAAACCTCGAGTCGTATGGGACGGGTTGGGAGAAGCTTTGAGTCACTTTGGGCCACTTCTGGTCATTTATGTGCGGTTCTGGAAAAACTGGACTTCCTGTTGATGTTCCGACGAGGTTCGAGTCGTGTTGGACAAGCTTTGGGTCTTATTGGGCGAGTTCTTGTCATTTGGCACATTTCTGTTGATGTCAGACACATTTAGAACCGTTCTGGCTCAGTTCTGGTCGTACTGGACCTGTTGGACAGGCTGTGAGCTGGTTGGGAGAAGGCTTGAGTCACTTTGGACCAACTTCTGAGCCGCTGAGCAGAACTCTGGTCATCGTGGACGTGAGCTGAGTTTTTCTCTGACGGTGTTTCGGTCGTTC